TATAAAATTTTTGAACTGTGATCTCAAAATAATTCGTGACGTATAAAATTTTTGATTTGTGATTTCAAAAATAATCTGTGACCATTAATGTCGTCGGAAAGTTCGTCGAAAATTTCGCCGGAAGTCACCGGAAAGTCGTCGGAGTAGAGTGACTGCCGGAATAGTCCCCGAAGCGGTATGGACGATGAAGATATGATGTGTTAATTATATTATATTAAAATTAAATATTTAATAAATTAATTTAATAATTTATTATTACATAAATAACAATAACAAAAATCTGATTTTTAAAATTTGAAACTTGTTTTCTTATTTTTGGAAGGGTATAAAATAAACATATTACTTATGAATTCTTCCCATTTTATTAAGTGGGCCCATTAACTCTGGATTTTGACATTGTGTAGAATCCAAACAAAACCCGGTTTAACAAATTGTTTCCTCAAAATTGGCGCGAAGACTGCCGTTCTTGACCGAGTCATTGGCGCGTGTGTAGTGTGGGAGGTGGAGCCCATTTTATTTGGATTCTTCTGCGGTGGATCCCACCGACAACTCACAAGGAGTGGTAATTTTTTTTACTTTTTAGAAAGAAGAGGAAGAGAGTAAAAAGTTCCTCTTTATCGTCTCGTTTGATTATTTATTTATTTATTTTATAATATTATTTTAAATATAATTTAAATTTAAATTTATAAAATAAAATAAAAAATTCGAAGTGGGTTCGAGTATTTGAGGTGGGGAACAATGCGGGTTGGAGACCAAGACTTTCGCCATCTCTAGTAGGTATTGATGAAAAATAGTGGATTTTATGGAACGTCTGCATAAAAATGTTGTTAAATANGTCTGCATAAAAATGTTGTTAAATAAGTTTATAGCCTTAAAAAAAATAATTCCAAACAGCTTATAAGTTTATCTTATCAAAATTCACTTAAAATTTATCTTAGTTTCAAATAATTTTATATTCAGCGACTTTATAAAAGCTTAGTTTATATATCGCATAAACAAACAAGTAATTGAATTGACATAATATATGTGACTCGGTATGAGATATTATTCAATGGAAAGAAATATATGTGACAGTAGATTTTGGACCATTATTCAGCATAAAAGACTTCGACCAAGCTTGTGGTTGGGTTGGGTTGGGTTGGGAGCCCTAGTTAGCAAATTAGAAAGGAAAGGTACTTTTGTGAGTCAAATCGTATGAACATTTGTTTTGGTTCTATGTTCATTCCAATTGGGTTATTAATCTTCGTTAAGGTACAGTCAATTGGAACGAAATTTAACTTATTAACATTTAATCCTTGGATGGTAGGGATTAAAATTTAAATTTCAAATCAAAATCAATAATTAATTTTAACCAAATATTTTATGGGATCCACAATTTTTCAAACACGCATTTCATTAACTTTTATCAAATCTACTAAAAATTTGATTTTAATTCTTAAAAAAAATGCTTTAGGCATCCATTAAAAACAGTGCTCGCAATTGAAAATTCTAACATGAGTGCTATATTTGTCAAATTTCTAGCAGACTCTAAATTCCACTTACAGACCTTTGCTAGGATCCATTACAAATAGATCTGTTGAAGGGCCAGGATCCATTGAAAAATAGACATCACTAAAAATTTTCAGGCCCGAATGGCTGGACATGAAATAGTTTCCCAATAGGCTATCTATGTGGTTCTTAACCGTCCATATGAGATGGTTCAAGTCGACAGGTACTTACATTTATGGGAAAATTAGGTCCAGTACTCTTTTTTTTTAGGTGTTTTTGATTAATACCCTTAAATTTTAATTAAATATTTTAATGAAGTA